CACCTCCGGACTCTATGAACAACATAAAACACGTGCAACATGAAACACTTGAATGCAACATACGTCTGAAACATATGAAACATCTGGAACATATACTTGCAACATATGTGTGAAAACATATGCAACATCTAGATAGAACACCTGCAACATGAAAACACTTGTTGCAACGGAAACGGTAACAGATGAAACATTTGGAACATATTGTTGCAGCATATGTGTGAAACATATGTAACATCCAGATCAAAACGATTGCAACATACGTTTGGAACACATAAACATTTTGAACAAACTCTTACACCATGTCTCTGAAACACTTGCAATATATGCAAACATGTGCAACATTCCCAACCTACTTTTACAACATTCATGTAAAACAACTGCAACATACCTCTTAAACGTCTAAAACACTTAAAACATATATTTGTGACATAAGGGAGGGTGAGCCTGTGCCGGTCAATTCCGACCGTCGGGGTGGGCCCCAGCGACGAGTGGCCGCGCGCGAGCACCACTAGCATCCAGCACCCGCGGCGCGCGCGAGCAGCACCACCACTAGTGCCACCAGCACCAGGCTTGGGTCGCCCGGACGGGCAGCGCGCGTGACAGGCGGAGCGAGCACCACCAGCACCAGCGCGGGTGACGAGAGGGAGCAAACAGCGCGTGCAACGGGAGGGGGCGAGAGGTGCGTGCGATGGGGCACCTCTTGCAGCATTAAACCTAAGAATTGTTCAGTATTTAGCTTCATTGGAAAAAATATTCAATAAGAAAATATCATCCAAATATATTTTAATTGGGATATGGTTTTAAAGCTTTTTTTTTGTCACGACAAAAAAAAGTGCATCTAGATTTTCATTTGGATGCATTGTTTACAAACTTTCATGTGCAAGTGTTTTTACACACGATGACGCCATCTGTGACTGTATGGTTCCTCTAGTCAAGCATGTTAATACCATTTCGGTACCAAGTGACTAGCTTCTTAACCAGTATAGATAGAAGTAGCTCCATTACGCCCTGACCTCAATATTAGCCAATATCCACCATTTTGGTCCAAACCGGCGATCATTCTGGCTATTCTGGACATACTACTACCTATTGGAACTCAAATAGCATTCCATGTGATGTACAATTTTACGAACTTGTTGAATCAATTATCTTAAGCCTTTTCGCAAAAAAAAAAAATTATCTTAAGCCGAACTTTATGTATTTTAGAATAATATATAGAATTATTTAAATGTAGTTATATTTATAAATGTTAATATTTCACTAAAGCCAGGAATGGTACATCAATATAGTCCGGTACCGTGCTTCAATTCCAATAGAAAAAATTAAATGGTCTCTACAACGATATTATAAGTATGCCTCTACTTCAATTTTCTCTAACGGGCGTGGTGAAAAAATTGGCCTGCACTTGCTCACCCGCCCAATAAGAAAAAGTAGCAAGAGTTTCAAAAAGAAAAAGTAGCAAGTGGTAGTTCTCTTGTGACAAGTCATGTAAGTGAAATTGTAGCATTCCACGATAATTGGATGAGCCTTTAGATAATTTGTCCGTTCTTGGAGTGTATTGATAATTCAGTTATCGTGCCAAGGCCCATGTGTCCCAGGTAGATCGTCTATGACTCTCCATGGATATCATGCGTTTAAGCACTGGGCTGTAGTGGCTCGCGGATACTTGGTTGTAGGTGGAACGCCGGCGGATATTTTGCTATCGTTGGCTTTTCGGCCCCCTCTCTCATAGATGTTGCTGTCGAGAGCGTGCTGGCCTCTCTTGGCAGATATTTGGTTGTCGTGGTCACTTGGTCTTCAATGACAAATGCTTTGCCACCAGTTGCTCATGGCTTTGTCTTTTCTGTAGGCAACCATTGCGTTGATGTATCCTTTTTTGTAGGCCCAGTTTGTAGGTTACAGGGGTTGAGGGCAGTCGCTCGCTCTCTTTCTTTCTTTACTTCTCTTTCTTGTTCTTACGTTTCTTCCTAGGTCATTGTCCACTATTTTGGTGGTTTGTAATCTATGCTACGAGGGTTCTCTTGTAGTTGTGTCGTGTAACTTTCTTCTTCTTAATGAAATACGGGTATAACCGTATAATCCCTGATCGCGAAAAAAGGTTGTAGTGCCTTGCTAAAAATGGTTAGATCGTGGATTCATTGTTGTTTTATAATTTTTTCTTTGTCAGGAGTATCTATCAGGAAGCTCTAGCATGGAATTAGACTTGATTGTCCACGGAAGTTGAAACATCAATCAGAACAACTCATGGCTCTTAAAAATCCATTCTACCAAATTAAGCTTCCTTATTAACTGAGGCCCTCTTTAGACCATAGAAAAAACAAATGGAAAGATATGGTATTATTATTCCTATGGAATGAAGTTACTATGGCCATGTTTGGCGGAGCTCTAGCTCTAGAAAATTTTAGATCTAGAGCTGCAGAAATATTAAGTGTAGTTACATGACTAATTTTTATTTATTTTTTAGATTAATTAAAAATAGTTAAACCACTTCAATTGGCCTAAAAACTATAGATCGAACATAAATCTTGACGTTAGAGCCGTGCCAAACGAGCATGTAGTGTCCTTTAGTATCCTTTGGTTCCTAGAAACAGTTTGTAGGATAACATACGAAACTTTACTTTGCATTCGATTTCAAAGGAAAATCATGAGCAAGAAAAGGTATCTACTCATATTTCATTGTTTCTTGTATCATGTGTTTCCCTATAGTTCATCTAGATCTCGATTTCTACAATTTTTCTTTTGTTATTTTTCATTCTTTCTTTGTTTTTCATATATGTATTTATATCCTATTTCTATGTTCTTACTATTGCTCTATTTTCCAATCTAGTGCTCGGAAGGGTCCCTAGGCCGGATGACTTGCTTCCCGTAGAATGATAGAGCGCGTGTAGGACCTAATCTTTTTTTTTTTGTGAAGCAAAGCTCTTTCCATACTCAATTGTCACAGCGGCCTCGCTGGACACTAGAGCCTCGAGCTCATGAGGTACAGCATCCCAAGCAGTTTGCACACCACTGGGCAAATTACAACCAAGTGCAGCAAGTTCATGCGCCACATGATTACAAGAACGATAAACAAACATTTATCCTACTTCCTATAAGATCAGAAGCTAGTAGGATCCTGAGCTCAGTTATCACCCTGCTCATCACAGATTGCCGGTACAACGCCTCGCCCACTGGGCGACGACGAGGATGCAGTTGCTTGGCCGGTCCGTGGTCGCGTGCGTCAGGCAGTCAGGAAGGTCGCCAACAGCAAGGCCCGCGAGCGTTTGGCAACGACCGGATACGATGCACGTTGAAAGTATATATATTTAAATGTTTTATATGTGTTTAGAGGTATGTTTTTAATATTTTATGCAGATATTGTAAAAGTAGATCGGGATGTTGCATGCGTTGCAATGGCTGTACACGTATGTTACAAGCATTTGTCCCCAATGTTTCATCTGTTTTTTCGACATATGTTGTAGGTGTTTTATTTAAATATCGCGTATGTGTTTGCAATGGCTACACACGTGTTTTTCATGGTGTTTCAAACGTATATTGCAGGTGTTTCAATTGTTTTAGACGTATGTTGCAAGTGTTTTACTTTGTTTTGGACGGATGTTGCAAGTGGTTCATCTAGATGTTGTAAAAGTAGATCTTGGTGTTGCACATGTTGTAGTGGAACCCATCTGCAGCAGCCACCTGTTGTAGCTGCTGGGCCCGCCTGCATGCACGTGCGTGTAGAGCGGGCACCATGGTGCGAGCGCAGGAACGGAGCAGCGTGGTGCACAAGCACGTACAGGCCACGGTGCAAACGCGGGACATAGAGCAACGCGGACCTCCATGTGAAACAAACGTAGCAGGTGCGGCCATTCGGACGCTAGCCCCATTCAAATGTCCCGGACTAGACGTTCCGAATCTAAAAATGAAAGACATTATTTTTGATATCCTACCTTGTTGGTGAAGGGAGCCTATGGGCGTGATTGGTAGCCCTGATGGAGCCGACCAAAGCGCCATCCGGAACTATGTCATGCACTATCTCTGTGTTTGGTTTCTTGTGCCGAACGAAATCGATGCACCGGACCGTGCATTTGAGGCCCCTGGCGCAGGCTCACAGCGTACGCAGAAATCAGGCTTTCCATGCGAGCCGGGATGGTGTGATGCGACGCATAGCCCAGGGACCCATGTGTCGTACACTCAAAACTCACATCCATACACGCAACCAAACAAGATCTCATCTCGTACTAGACCAACAACAAAGACAACCAAACACGACTGAATGCACAGTTTAAACATGCATCTCACTGTCCTAGACCTGCTCTCCGTCCCGGCTCCTCCTCACCAAAGCAACCAATCACGGTACCATTAGATCCGTTCGAACGGTAGAGACTCGAGTCCTCTTGTTGAACCAAATAGTCACCGCCTAGGCCCTAGTAGGAGCTGAGCTCAAAACTTCGAGCACGGATAGAAGAGAACAAAATTCGTATATGTAAAATAAAATGGCACAGATTGATCTGATTATACTCAAATAATATTTATACATGATTAATTATCGAATGGATATAATATTTTTTAATAACAAGTGTGTATATATATCTTAATACTAGCATGTTTGGACGCCGTCGACAGGCAGCCACAATCTCAATGTTTAGTGCCATCGCAATAGTGACGCTGAAACTGCTCGCGACTGAGCTTGTGCGACTACTGCCTTCGGCCATTAATGGACGAAAAAGAAAATGGTGGCATGTGCGGCACACAGTTTGCAATTTGGGAAACACAGTACAATAATTTCCAGATGCTAATTTAGATTAAATTAAAATAAAAAGTAACTAAATTACACACAAAACCTCCCTCATCTGCCAGACCCTTTTCCGTTTTCTCCCTCCCTGTCGCTCGCCGCTCCTGCGCCACCGAGCTCGCGATCGGATTCGCTCCCTCTTCGCCGCGCCCCACCACCCCCCATCGCCGCTGGCTGGGGATCTCTAGGGTTTAGCGCAGTCGCCCGGCTCGACCCCGCCAGCACCATGGTACGTGGATCTGAACCCGCCCGCTCCCGAATCTCCAATCCATTCGCCGGTTTTTCTCGAGCCCGGTTCATGACGTTTGTTTGCTCAGAGATCTGACCAATGTTGTTTTCCGCTCGTGTTCCCCGCAGCCGCTCAGGTTGGAGATCAAGGTGCGCCTGCCCGACCTCACTGGATCTCGGTCTCCACGTCGTCCTTCTACTGTTCGTGCCGCTTTGATTTTGCGCTGATTTCAGTTTGATTTTGTTTCCTTGGTGGTGATCAGCGGAAGTTCGCTCAACGGTCGGAGAGGGTCAAGTCGGTGGATTTGCATCCCACGGAGCCATGGTGAGTTCCGATTCTGTTCTGGGGTCGTTCACTGAGTTTTCAGCCATTGCCGCTGCTTGTGCTTACCGTTTTGGTGTGCTTGATTGTGCAGGATCCTGTCGAGCCTGTACTCGGGGAGTGTCTGCATCTGGGATTATCAGGCACAGGTAAGGGCCCGAACTGGATTTCGTAAACGACATGTGCGTGAATTCATTCCAATGCTAGCAAATAAGATACAGTATGAACCAAGCATAACATTAGGGTTTACTCTCTCAATGCTGGATCCTTTATTCCAGACATCTTTGCTGTTGCTATGATCTATGGTGCTGCCTATTGTTTGGTGGGCTGGCATGCAGTAGAATTTTGCATGTCTAAGTTTCAGTTATGAGCTTTAAAGAACTTTACTTTATGGTCGCCTTGTTTATTTCTCTCATTATATGTTGTTCAAGTATATAGGTCATTAGGGCTACAAACAGCACTTGATCGTTCTGATACATTATTACACATCTAGATTCCACACTGAATTTTCGATCCTGGGTTACCGTTGATAGTTCAATTTCATTTGCCACCGAGTGACCCTTCATATTGGCTCCGCTATGACGATTATGTCCCCCCTTTTTTAGCCAGTCTGCATTTCTGTGAGCTAAGTTGTTAACCTAATGACCTTTTACATCGTTGTATAAGATGACCTGTTTCTGTTCCATTTCTGTCACCAATCTTCACCTTCATGATTGTGGGTCTGAACCAATGTGTCTGAGTTGCATTGTCGAACTATTGCGTATCATGTATATGCACATGCAGTTCTGCAAGATCTGTATGCTTGAGTACAAAATGTGGTAAATTTACCTTAGGTACTACAATAAGAAATCAAAATGATTTTGTGAAAATCATGAGTATGACATAAGAAATATTGTCTCATTTCTGGGAAATTAGGATCCAGCTAGTGGATCTATGTATATGTCATGAATGGATATGATTTACCAGTGCATTGTTGTCATTTTACTTATAACAAGTATATATTTATTGTTGCCATAAAAATAAAGTTGGATTCTGAGAATTTTATTCATTAACATGTTTGTTTTTGTATATACCTTTTCAGGCAATGGTGAAATCATTTGAAGTTTCAGAACTGCCAGGTATCCAAAGCACTTAGATTCACGTGGAATGAGAACTTTTGGCGATCAGGATGATGCTAATGTATATTTTAAACTTATTTTCAGTGAGGTCGGCAAAATTTATTTCAAGGAAACAATGGGTTGTAGCTGGTGCAGACGACATGTTCATTCGTGTCTACAACTACAATACCATGGACAAAGTTAAAGTTTTTGAGGCTCATACTGATTACATCAGATGTGTTGCGGTCCATCCAACTCTACCATATGTGCTGTCATCATCTGATGACATGCTAATAAAACTGTGGGACTGGGATAAAGGGTGGATGTGCACTCAAATATTTGAGGGACATTCACACTATGTGATGCAGGTTACTTTCAATCCAAAGGATATTAACACCTTTGCAAGCGCATCTCTTGACCGCACTACAAAGGTATGCCTTTACAATGTTATGCAGCAAGATGTTAGTTGCGACTGAGTCATGATATGATCTTGTTCATTCATACTTCTTACTCTGAGATTGCAGATATGGAGTTTGGGCTCTCCAGATCCAAACTTCACACTCGATGGACATCAAAAGGGTGTCAACTGTGTTGACTACTTCACTGGTGGTGACAGGCCCTATTTGATTACTGGTTCTGATGACTCCACTGCAAAGGTACATTTTTGTACTTAGCTGTATGTTTTAAATGTTTGGTTGCTCTATGCAGTCTTATGATGGGGCATTTTATGGCAAAATAGGTCTGGGATTACCAGACGAAGAGCTGTGTTCAGACCCTTGAAGGACATACACATAATATTTCTGCTGTTTGTTTCCATCCTGAGCTCCCTATAATCATTACTGGATCCGAAGATGGTACAGTTCGTATATGGCATTCGACAACTTACAGGTAACATGTTTTTATTTATCTCTATGTTTGCTTGTTTATGTAATCATAGGTCTGTCGTTTTTTCATTATTACAATTTGGCCATTTATCAATTATCAATTCTCCATCCTGAAACACAGATCAACTGACTTCCTCATAAATCAGAATGCTAAACAACTATCTTGTTTCTAGAACAATTGGGCACAACTAATTTTAATGTAAAGGCCTATGGGCATGACGTTGGTATTTAACTTTCTGTTCTTATGGTTGAAAAGTTTAAACCCACAGTAACTTATTAATTCCATGGTGTGCTAACTTAAATGTATGAGCTTATCTGCCATGTCATTGAACGAAATATGCTTTATTTTACTTTTTATGATATGATACCTTTCTATTATTTCTTATGATAGCATGCAATTGAACATCTCTCACCAAACCCCTATCTGTGCATTATATTTTTCCTTTTTGCATGTGTGTCAGTACCTGTCTTGCATGCAGGATAGCACAATTACATTCTGTGTGTACACTGTGTAGTGACATGTAGGGTGTGAAACAAAAGGACAGTGGTTAGTTTTAACTATTTTGCTTACCAAAATTACAAATACTATTCCCTCCATTCCAAATTATAAGACATTTTGGCTTTTCTAGAAACATAGCTTTTACTATGCACTTAGATATACACACACTATGTCTAGATACATAGTTAAAGCAATGTATAGAAAAGCCAAAACGTCTTATAATTTGGAATGGAAGGAGTACTTGTTTTTGGAATCAGTCTTAGTAATGGAGCCTGGCTCAGTGGGAGGTGTGGTGTGCACTCCCACCACCCAGATCCAAGTTCGAGTCCTCTTGAACTTGAATTTGGGTGCCTACTGCCTATTCCTTCTTATTTACAATGCCCACCTAGTTCCTCCTAGGTTGGTTGAGTTAAATTATTCTTGCATCTGTGATAATCTGGAAAATGTCCTATACTGATTGAGTCTGAACACTGCTTGTGTTACTCTTTTCATATCCTGAGATGTTCTTTGTTTTATACTTGAACTATTTTGTAGACTTGAGAACACACTAAACTATGGCCTTGAGAGAGTCTGGGCTGTTGGATACATGAAGGGATCAAGAAGGTAAGATCATTTGCATTCCGCTTTTGTTTCAGTAGTGCTGTCAGTTAAATGGACACTGGCTATTAATATAGCATTTCACTTTTGAGTAGAACTAGAAGCATCATATCACTTTGTGTCTCTTAATGGTATGTATGTGTAGTTGTGTCATTCTGCTAGTAAATCAACTATAAATGCTATCTACAAATTGTTTTTTGTTTGCCTTAAAGAGGGCCACACTAGTTAGCTGATATCCTCACGGGGAATGCAGTATGGTCGATTGTTTAGTGGTTCCAAACTTCGTATAAACCCAGTATGTTATTCGATGGGCGGCTACTGCTACAATTTCATGTCTCCTGTTCATTTCTATCTTTCTTGCAATGTTCATGCTTGTAGCTCTTAAGCTGTTCACATTCTTAAGACAGCCAACGGGTTGTTTTGTCCCTGTGGTTGAGATTTTTGGTATGTATTTTCTAATACTGAAACAAGTATACTGTTTGGTGACTGTCTAGGATGGTGATAGGTTATGATGAGGGGACCATTATGATAAAAATGGGCCGTGAAGTACCCATAGCAAGTATGGATACCAGTGGGAAAATCATTTGGGCGAAACATAATGAAATACAAACTGTAAATATCAAGACAGTCGGTGCAGGCTTTGAGGTAAGTTGGTCTGTTTCAGCATAAAATGAAATAATTTAGCAAGCACTTGTCTAACAGGTTATTGTATTTTGCAAATCAGGCCACAGATGGAGAAAGATTACCCTTGGCTGTAAAAGAGTTAGGAAGCTGTGATTTGTACCCACAGGTACTTTTGGATGCTGATATATTCTTTGTATTCTAAAATTTGTTACTATTGTAGGTTTATAGTTTAGTTATTAACTGGTTATTTTTTTTTCTTTTCTTATTTGGCAGTGCTGATTTTTTTATTTAATCTTGAGTGGTGTATAATCTGATTGTGAGTAATCGTTTTGGTTGTTCAGAGCTTGAAGCATAACCCTAATGGACGGTTCGTTGTTGTATGTGGAGATGGCGAGTACATAATTTATACTGCCCTGGCCTGGAGGAATAGATCATTTGGAACTGCACTGGAATTTGTTTGGTCATCAGAAGGAGAATATGCAATTAGGGAAAGTACATCAAGAATAAAGACTTACAGTAAATCGTTTCAGGTACATGGTCTACTTTAGTTTATTGTTTTTCTATATATAAATTGTTTAATCAGATGCATGTTTCTAATTTCTTTCATAATTACCTAAACATTTCCTCTAGTTTTGGCGTCTGTAAAGATGCATCCTTTACTCCTTTAGTATTCAGTTGACTCTTCTAGCTTTCTTTTCTTTCATCACGTGTTCCTTTATTCAGTGATGTTTCTGGAAAAAGTTCAACTTGTGCCCTTTGATTTCTGCAGCAAGTTTTTCCCATGATTTGTTACTAAGGCTTACAATTCATTGGAGATTCATAACTTATGCTTGTTGCATGTCCCTTGCCCGCTCACTTTTATTAGCCATATCACTTCTCTAGGAGTTGTAGAAGCGAATGTAAAGTTTGTGATCTAGCCTTTTTTTTTGAATTATTTCACAAAAAAGCAAATTGTAATCTTTTGGCATTCTAATTATCTGGTTTTTTAGGAGAAGAAAACTATCCGCCCTTCATTTTCAGCAGAGCGTATTTTTGGTGGGGTATTGTTGGCTATGTGTTCTAGTGACTTCATCTGCTTTTATGACTGGGCTGATTGTAGACTAATACGCCGAATTGATGTGAATGTTAAGGTGAGTCAAGTATTATTTTTTCTTGGGTGGAAATTCCGTATGTTTTGAGTTTACTATTAACCTTTATCTTGTGTTTATAGAACGTTTACTGGGCTGATAGTGGTGACCTAGTTGCAATAGCAAGTGATACATCATTCTACATCCTCAAGTACAATGTAAGATATCGTATCCTCAAATGATTATTATTTTGTTTCTTTTTCCTTCTTTTACCCACCTCCTTGTGATGCATGGGGATTATAACACAAAATGATCGTATGTTTTGTGCTTTGCAGAGAGATATTGTTGCTTCTTATCTAGAAGGTGGAAAGCCTGTGGACGAAGAAGGTGTCGAAGATGCTTTTGAGCTGCTTCATGAGGTCAATGAGCGAGTGAGAACTGGAATTTGGGTTGGAGACTGCTTTATCTATAACAACTCATTGTCGCGCCTAAATTATTGCGTTGGTGGTGAGGTAAATATAGTCTACTCGAAAACATTTTCTTCTGTTTAAGTTCTCTATATGGGCACTATGTGTGTCACGACTTCAATAGTTATAAGCTTTATACTTACAGGTCACTACTATGTATCATTTGGATCGCCCTATGTACCTATTGGGATATCTTGCGAACCAAAGTCGAGTTTATCTTATTGACAAGGAGTTTAAGTGCGTTTTCTCAAAAACAATGCTTCCTTTCTTTTGTAGCATCTGTTAATTTCTGTAACTAACATATAAGCTTGGTACAGTGTCATTGGGTACACATTACTTCTGAGTTTGATTGAGTACAAGACCCTTGTGATGCGTGGGGATTTGGAACATGCAAATGAAATTTTATCGTCCATACCAAAGGCGCAATATAATAGGTTTGTGATTACCTGTTTGTTCTAAAATATAAATTGATTTTTTTTGTATGCTCCTTTTTTTTCTTTCTAATTTGTCTTTGCTTTTAGGCCCATTTTCTGTTTCGTGGAAGACAGCTTATATGTTAAATTGATGTATATATATCAGTGTCACATAACTATCCTGATGTATGCCATATCTAAATAGACTCCTACTCCTTTACTCTTTCCATTCCAAATTATAAGACATTTTGACTTTTCTAGATTCATAGTTTTTGCTATGCACTTGGATATACACTATGTCTAGATACATAGTAAAAGTAATGTATCTTGAAAAGTCAAAACATCTTATAATTTGGAAGAGTGAGTAAAAACTAAATATTGTTTTTTATCTTGTTTATGTTCATAATTTACTGAATTAATATACTTAGTTTTCTCCACCCTTTTTGTGTATTTTGTCAAACTTTATTTAGAGTCTGTTCTCTTCTAACCTCAGTTCTTGTTTCTCTTTCATATGACAGTGTTGCTCATTTTTTGGAATCGAGAGGTATGTTGGAAGAGGCTCTTGAGATAGCCACCGATGCTGACTACAAGTTTGACCTAGCTGTGCAGCTTGGAAAATTAGAAGTTGCAAAGGTACTGATTATATTGTCACTAATTTTCTTCTAATACCGTAGATTATATTTGAGGTATTGTATACTGCATTGCTGCAAAATTACTAACATATATTATAAGACCTCTCATGCCTATTTACTGTACAGGCTATCGCCATAGAAGCACAAAGTCAATCTAAATGGAAGCAGTTGGGCGAACTCGCCATGTCCACAGGCAAGGTTGGCTCTTAAACCTTATGAAAGTTTGTATTTGACATTTAAATAACTACATTGCTAAGAAACAAGTTTTCAAGAATGGAATGCCTCGTGTAGTTTGACGTTTTTTTTTTGTGATCAAATAGTTTTGGGTCCGGGCCTTTAATCTTCTCAATACTTCAATGGAACATGTTTTCCTTGCCAAAACTCTCCATGCGAATCAGAATGATGTCAATTGAGACATGACCTAAATTGAACATATCCTATCTGTATTAGCTCGTGAATGATAGCTTATTGGCATGGGTATGCCACAACTCTACATTGCAGCTAGAGTTGGCGGAGGAATGCCTTCTTCAAGCGAAGGATTTAAGTGGCTTGTTGCTACTGTACTCATCTCTTGGAGATGCTGAAGGAATTGAAAAGCTTGCTTCTTTGGCAACAGAACATGGAAAAAACAATGTTGCTTTCCTCTCCCTTTTTATGCTTGGTAAAGTGGAAGATTGCATACAGTTGCTTATAGACAGGTAAATCTTGTTTGCTGTGATTAAATCCTTGTTTTGGTGCTCTTTCTTTGAGAGCTAAACATTATCTTGTGTATTCTGCAGTAACCGTATACCTGAAGCTGCATTAATGGCACGATCATATCTTCCTAGCAAAGTACCAGAGATAGTAGCAACTTGGAGAAACGACCTCAGTAAAGTAATTTCTTAATGTTCCCATCTTAGTCTTCTTACTGAAAAGTGTCGTGCCATTCGGAAATTTTTTTCATGCTATTATCTTATTCTTTTTGTCTGTACATTGTATGCAGATTAATCCAAAAGCTGCAGAGTCTCTGGCAGATCCTTCTGAATATCCAAATTTATTTGAAGACTGGCAGGTTGCTCTAACTGTAGAAAAAAACATTGCTTCTCAGAGGTACACATTATCACACAAACTACTATGTTTTGTTCTAGCATATTGCTTACCAGAAGTTAAAAAAAAAACATTGAATCACAGAAACTTCTTATTGGTTCCAAAGAGTAATGTCACCATTATTGCATCTGCTCTGAGTCTTGAGCCCAGACCACCTCACAGTTTTTGATTAAGTAAAAATTTTGCAATAACATAAATCTTTATGTGCAGGGGCCATTATCCTCCTGCTGACCAGTACTTGAATCATGCTGAGAAGTCAGACATGACTCTTGTGGAAGCTTTCAAAAGGATGCAGGTCATGGAGCATGAGGAACTTGAAGATGCAGCTGAGGAAAATGGAGAACCTGATCAACTGGTATCTCATGTGCATTCTGCTTCTTATTGTCCATTTTCAATTATGCACTTTGGAGTTTTCTTAGGAACTTGATATTTATTATGATCCATTTTCACATCGGCCCATTCCTTATGTCTTGATTGATATGCAATTATTTCATTATTTCTCCTTGTCGACGACTGTAATTTTTGTTACCTTTTGGAATAATGGATAAAATTGTTCTCAGGCATTGGAAGAGAATGAAATGCAGAACACAGATGATTCTGATGAACCTGAAGAGACAGTTTTTGTAAATGGGGATGAGGGTGAGGAACAGCAGGGTACGGACAATGAAGGAGCTTCGTCTGCTTAGAATTCTTTGGCAAATGTGGAAACCCCAAGTTTTGCCTATGATGATTCACTGTTCTGAAATTTTTGAGTTTTGATACCTCTGTAGCACGGATACGTCAGGAAGGTGCCGTATCGCATATCGGATACGTCACCGATACGGCTTGGATACGTATAATCCGAGTATCCTGTTTTTGTTTAATTTAGGAAATATCGAGTACGTGACCTGATACGTATCAGCCACTGGGATACGGCCCAGCCCAACAAGCACCTCCTTATCTGCCCTGTCTAGCCTCGATTCCTCCCATGGTTGTTGCACGGCACCTGCCTCCTGCGCACACGCGCTGCCTCCCGCGCTAGAGATGCACCACCACTCGCTGGCCACCGGCGACGAGCCCCTGCCCCCTCGCACCGCCTCCTGTGCAGGAGATGGGCCACTGCTCGCCGGCGAGCCCCCGCCCCCTTGCGTTGCCTGCTGCGCACACGCGCGCTGTGCAGGAGGTGCGCCACTGCTTGCCGTCCTCCCCTGCCCACTCTGAGCCATCAATCGACTTCTCCAGTCCAGACTGTCGCGCCGGGAGCACCCGCCAGTCCGCCACTGCTGCAGCTAGCTCCCGCGATGCAGGGGCAAGGTGCAGGAAAGGGACTATTCAGCAGCAAAACAAGCTGCTGGCGACCTCTGACGTATGTGTGGCCATCATGCATGTATGATGCTGCTCCGATGTGACGCATAATGGATAGCTCCGAATCCGTGGAGAAGGAACAAAGTAACCCTGGGATTCTTTGATTTGAGAGCAACGTGATCCTGAGGAAAACAAGGCTGGACATGCTCTTCACCTGTGAGAGCGAGAGAGATGAGAAGCATCAATAGGCTCTGGGACAGCGAAAGCCAAATCCTCCCCGTGTGGTGAGATGCAGTGAGGCGTCGTCACAACGGCGACGTACAGCGAGAGGAGGCCACATACGTACGTATGGTATCCGCTTGTCGATCGTATACGCAGGGCGAGGCAAGCACGGCGGCAGAGAACCAGAGAAGCAGAATGCCGGCGCTTGAGAGCACGTCCCTGTCACTTGCCATGCCGTTCCCGGCCATAGTGCACACTGCACAGCAGCACGTACGTTGCTTGTCAGACAGAGACGCCAGCGAACCCGGCGTCTGGTCGGCACTCACGAGCGAACATCCCGATCGAACTTTGCTCCTGTTATCCTTGTCTCCAGATTGATCATGTGGCGTTTTGTTGTTATTGCCACGCGGTTCCGACCTCTGACGGCGGCGGCGCAGTGGGCATCTCTTGAAGATTGCGTGGATTTGTTATTGTTGGGCATACATATTACGATGCCAAGATTTCAGAGACGGGCATGATGCATGCCTGCACTGCACGGCCTAAACTGCTCCTGAACCATGCATGGTTTTCATTCCTTGGGGGAGCAACTAACAAGTACAAGTACAACAGATTCAGTCATTCATATCTCACGCCGTCTTTTGGTTTTGGCCCGCAGATTCAAACTCAGATTATATATACTTGGCCACGGATTGAAACTGTAGTCTTTCCACGGCGCAGCCGCAGCTGGATGCAGAACACAATCTCTGAGCGAACCTGATATAGTGTAGTACTCTATATATATTCAAACACTGGCTGATCTAACTGAATCTGATGCTCACTTGCTGCAGTATGTATGTAGCACTAACTAAGATCTCTGCCGGGCAGCCGATGAATACCTGCAGAGTTCAGACCATAATCATGGATTCAGACCGTGGAATCTAAATGGGTCTTAATTATTATTTATAAAAAAACTGTAAACTTAGATTGTTTCCCTTGCTTATCACTCATGGATGGAAGGGGTGTATTGATGATGTTGATGTGTCAAGACCAATAAACTGGTATGTAGGAGTACCATAATAAATCTTGCTATAATTAATTAGAGGCCCTAATTGAATTTCATGCTAATTCTCACGAGACAGAAATTATCACAATAATCAAAATCATATTTCTTTTAATTTGATACACAGGCTCTAATAATCATCACCAATTATAGCTATTAGACGTATCATGTTTTATGAAAAGATTACCCAACCCTGTCATCATGAAAAAAATACATAAAGTATCATGTTTTATGCGACGGTGCCCAGGGGGGCATGAGCCCCCTGCCGAGCGCTGCGTTCACGCGACGTTGGCTTAGGAGCTTAGGAGCTGAAGAAGGAGACACGAACACCAACGCTAAGGCACGAGGGCACGAGAAGACCCCTTGGCCTCCAGCATGTAGGCGTAGGTGAGTAGCCCGAACCGATACGCCTGAGAAGAGGAGTGCGGGCACCATGCACCCACATAGTAACCTCCTAGAGAGCATTGGCGAGCGGGTGATGTTAGTGATGGTGTCGTCGTCACTCCACCTTCGAGAGCCCACACAACACCATGGAGGACACGATGTGGGTCTGGAACTTGCCAATGCCCTGGTAAACTGGCGCCTGACGTCTGCGGTGGCATGGCAAGACCTGGACCGAACATGAACAGGCGATCAGCCCTACGTTCATGGTCATGAGGACGTCAATGCACCTCGTGAAACGTGCCATATGCTGGACGGTCTGCAAGACACATGGATGTCGCACGCAGTTAGGGTAAGATTGGGAGGCTCGGCCGCTTTAGAGGGCATGAGCACCCCTAGTCGAGCGCCGCGCTTAGGCGCAGCAGCACCCTCGCCTGGCGGTGACACACTGGAGGCCGCCGTAAGGCGCGACGCTTCACATGGTTGGTGATGGGCGCGACGTCGAACATGGCGAAGACCAAGAAGAAAGTCAGCCTGACGACCAGCTGGTAGTGCTCGAACAGCTTTTGTCGGGCAGGCAATCGAGCCAAAGTCGTCCTGCTCCGCCATGAAGACAGCTCTGTACTGTACGTCATTTGTCTCTACCGTTTTGCTGGTAATTTGGTTTTCAGTTCCTACCGGCCACAGCGCGAAGCATGGTAGTTGTTCACTTTTTTTAACAGAGCTGCTATATTTTTTTGGTAATAGAGTTGCTATGTTTTAGATACCTTGTTTTTTTAGAAATTTTCAAACGACAATCTTATCCAAACAACTAATACAACTAAAAGAACAACTTATATGAGACAATTTATAGCAAAATTGTATGTTGCCTGAACAATAACAACAAAATCAGACACCTAAGATATAGGAGAAATGCTTTTTTAAATAATAACTGGAGCAAAGGATTTGGCTTCATACTTCTTGAATCTTGACAGGATGAATCAATCCATATCAGTAACACTTAAGCACTAAGGCCCCGTTCGTTTATTTCGGAACAGGTCGTTCCAGGTGGAACGGAGCAACCTGTATCTCTGGCCAGGATCCAAACCTGTTTCGGAGGCAGCCCAACAAGCCCTAAAGCAATTAAAGCACACTGTTTGCTCATGCTAACAAGGAAGCCTAAATAAAACCCAATTCTAGCTAAAACTATCTAGCCAACCATATAGAAAGTAAAGAATTGCATTGCAGCGCCTTGAAGACATAGGCATGCCACGACGATGCTATCCGTGTTAGCCTTATGCCACTGCAATTGTGTTCAATATGGGCGTGATTGGTTGCTCCTTGGTCTGCTAGCCGGGATGGAGGGCCTGTGCAGGCTCGAACCATACTAGATGAGACCATGCACCTTGGCCTGTTTGGTTGCAAATGAGTGTAGCATACTGGATCATAGGAATCGTGTTTGGTTGCTTGTGTGGACGGTTTTGTGGTATGAATTGGTGTGCCCAGCTGTGTTTGGTTTGGCGCACGACAGAAGGTGTGAGCACCCAGGTATGGTTTTGGTGAGGTTACCACCCTACTCAATAGTACAAGGCAGACAATAGAGATGTTTTTGCGCCTCAGTTCATTGTGCGCTGCCATTAACAATGATCTTGGAGCATCTAATGACAAAATACAAGCATACAACAATTTTCCCATCTAATAGTCAACAACATTAGGGTCACAGTACCTCACAAGGTCATTGTCATTACAAGTTTGCACGGCACATTTTGAGCATCACAGGCAGTTGTAGCAACGAGCAAGAACGAACCACAGGAGCACCAGCAAGAAAAAAGACTGTACCACAACCACAACAAATAACACCGGTGTGTTCCTGACCACCTTTGGTGGAGGATTGACAAAAACTTTGTCATCTTCACAACCCATGAACTCCAAGTATGATGCTTCTGCCTCTTCTTTGTTAGGAAAGCTCTTGTAGCTATTGTTTTAAAAACCAGTTACCTGAACATTGCATCTAGCCCAGGTTGCATATACCCTAGGAACTCTGCCATGGTACACAACATACCAAACTATGTGCCCCTTAAAAACACATAAAAGCAAGTATAAGATGTTGATAAGATAAGGGTCAGTTTAATCGATTTGCCTCAGATTTAATTGCCTTTTCATTTGACCTTGAACTTGGAGCTTAAGAAACATAGACAGCAACAAACCTCAAATAGATAGTAGAAAACCAAGATCATGACAGGCATGAAACCATGAGAGACATCCAGCCCACCATCAGATCATCACAACCGCCCAGCTGTTGCTTAGGCATGCATGTCTCACATGATTTGATGACAGCCATGAGAAGCATAAGTAGAAGATAGAAGAAACAATGCTCCAGTACCTCACAAGTCCAAGGTCATCAGTGTGCATAATCCATTACTCAAACTGATACTGTTATCTTCATAGGCATGAAAAGTATCTCACAATTGTATCAGCCTTAGTCAAAAAAATGGTTGACATCATAGGCACAAAAAAATGCAGGCCTCAGCTAACTGCAAACTAACTTATAATCATCTTGCAAGCTAACTGCAATCATCCCAGGTGGTAAATAAGAACACAAATTGCTAAGGCAAGTTCATGGCTGCCATGGAAGCGTGGGACACGTCCATCCCAGCCATCCGGTAGGCATGCCTACAACAGTTGCTTGGGAATAGACGTATCCCACAGTTTGATGACAGACATGAGAAAATACAAGAAGACAATAAAGCAGCAGCATGAAGAATACCCACAGACACCTCA